GGCAGAAGATGGCTCACAATTGAGGTCATATTTACAATCATATTCTTAGGATGTGAAACATTTTTCTCTAGTAAATGTCATGCACCCCAATAATTTAAGGCATTTCCCCTCCTCTTCAGGCAAAAAGAAATACCATTTCCCCCATCAGAAACACAGCCAACCTTGTTCCTACGGGACAGAAACAAAGGATGTGGGTGATTTAGATTGAAGTTGGTGGCTGCTACTTTCCTTGATTTCCACTACTGAATTCAAAATTTATAAATCAAAACAAAGCCAAGATGGTGAGGAGAGCCCCCAAGAGGAGTAGACAGATTGAACTTTTTACCCAATTCAGTACAATAAAGACACTATCTAGCAAGTGGCTGAAAATTCAAGAAAAAACCCCCATCATGTCTGTTTTCTTTAGGCCACTACTGCAGTGGCTTAACCCACTGGAGGAACTCCGACACTGAATGGCCTAGTGAATATGTAGCTCCTCATTGTATATGGCCTGTATATGATGAATGAGACTGTGCATCTTCAGAGTCCCTTCCTGTGACCCCATGCAACAACCCAAAACCAAACAGGTCTTCTTTTGGTAGTGGATTCTGAGGCAGTTACAATAGCCAATAAATAAATCACTTAGCTTGTTGCAGTAGAGCATGCCTGTTAGTTTCAGCACTTGGGAGGCTGAGGCAGAAAGATCACTTGAGCCCAGGAAAAAGAGATCAGCCTGGACACTATCTCAAATACAGCAAGACACTATCTTAAAGAAAGAAAAAGGGACTGGGGATATAGCGCAGAGGCACAAGTGCCTGCCTGGCAAGCACAAGGTCCTGAGTTTGACTCCCAGTACAAAACAAAACAAAACAAGAAAATTACAAAAAAGAAGAGAGAGAGAGAGAGAGAGAGAGAGAGAGAGAGAGAGAGAGAGACAGACAGAGAGACAGAGACAGAGACAGAGACAGAGAAAGAGAAAGAGAAAGAGAAAGAGAAAGAGAAAGAGAAAGAGAAAGAGAAAGAGAAAGAGAAAGAGACAGATAGGAGCAGACTATTGGTGGGAGTGCAACCACTATGGAATTATGTGGAGATTTCTAAAAAACCCCAAAAAACAAAAAAACAAAAAACAAAAAAACCCCTAGGATTAGCGGTCCCATTTGACCTAACTATTCCCCTCCTGGGTACTTTTCCAGAAGAACTAAGGACATCATACCACAGCAATATATGTGCACTGATGTTAACAGCAGCGCGACTTGTCATAGCTAAATCCTGGAAACAACCCAAGTGTCCATCAACTGAGGAATGGATAAAAAAGATGTGGTATTATAGTTATGTGGCTATAAAGAAAGGTGAATTTGAGGCTTTTACAGGTAAATGGATGCAACTAGAGACTGTACTCTGAAATAAATCAGACCCACATGTGCAAACATTGTATTGTCTCCCTAGTGTAAGAACCTGAAAGAGTAAATAAAATCTGAAAGGTACATTAAATACTGTGAAAGGGAAAGAATCTATTCAAAAGGAAGGAACAACTGGGATGAGAAAAAGGACAAAACAAAGAAGGGAAAAAGAATTATATATGTATATACATAGGCTAGCTTTGATTATTGTACTGCTGATTTTTGCTGGTCTACTGAAAGAAGCAGTTAATGCTCAAATTCTTTTCTCCTTTTTAACTTTTTATAATGTTTTGACCACCCTTACAGGCTTATATCTGGTAATCTGAACAACGAATTTGAAGATAACAATATGCAGCATAACAATTGTTAAATTCTTCTCATTTTGTTTAATGAAATTCTGTATTATTTCTAACGCGTTTTTAAAAACTATTTTTTGTATTCTCTTAATAAAGATACAGGGGAGGGGAAAAGGAAAGAAGGAAGAAAGGAAGGAAGGAAGAGGAGAGAGAGAGAGATACAAAAGAATATCTCCAGCAGGATGAACACAGCTGGGTGTCGGAATCAATCAGCAGGGTTCCTAACCATCCAGGACAAGCCCAGCTGAGGCTAAGAACATGATTCAGAAGCACAGCTCTGATTTAGAACTCTGTGCTGCAGTCTTCGGAGCTGCCGGGGCTCTGAGATTAGCCACCAGCGTGTGTGTGTCAGAACCCTCCAAAGTCACCATTCTACTTCCTGTCTGTAAAGCTAACCACTGTAGGTAACCTCATAACTGTAATCACACAGTGCATGGCCTCTTGTGATTGGCTTGTTTTATTTCTTCTGGATTCGCCCATGTTATTTCCTTCTATTTGTCTTTCAACTGACCTACACTTGAGTTGTTTCTGCCTTTCAACTTGTGGCCAGATCTGCTAAGAACCCAGAGGTATAAATGCCTGCCTAAGCTTCCACCTTCACTTCTGGCCCAGAAGTGGAATCACTGGGTCATAGGGTAATGCTATTTTAGCTCTTTGAAGAATCATCCTTCCATTTTCCACAGAAACTGTATCTATTTACATTTCCCCCAGCATTCTAATTTCTCCGTATCTTTATTGACATTTGCTATTTTCTGTTTTTCACAGTCACCATCCTCAGTATGCCAGAATGGTTTTTACCACAGTTCTTTAGGCAACCACTCTCAAATGATCAAAGTTGACAGACCAGATGAGATCATTTGTCATTTCTGTTGTTTTTTTGGTGGAACCGGGGATTGAACTCAGGCCCTTGTGCTTGCCAGGGAAGCACTTATTCCACTGAGCCATCTCTCCGGCCCTCATTTGTCATTTCTGAAATGTGATTATGCCTCCAAATTGTGATTATGAGACTGCTACACTTGCTAGAGTTTGCACCATAGGGTATACCAGGCAGTGCACCCATGGCGTTACTCACCATGTGCACACGGCTGGCCCTGGACATGGGAGAGGTCTGGAAGGACACAGGGAGGATGGATACCAGGTGGCCAGGGACTATGTGGACCAGAGAGATGAGGCGCAAGAAAGATAAACCAAGGGGTGGGTTGGAAATGATAATACGTGCTAAAAGGATTTTTCTTTTCTTTCTTCTGGTTTCCTCTACCTTCTACCTCTATTGCCTATGCATCCATCCCTTGACCACATGAGTTTTCTGTTACTCTCCCAAGAGCAGGAGTCCAAGCATGACCCAGGGACATCTTCTGCCTTGTGGACCAGGCACATGACCCCAGATGGAAGTGTGCAGGCACCTTCTGCACGGCAACATGGGGTGACTATCGCCGAAGAAACCCATAGTCACACACCATGAAATACCATAAGTGTGCACTTTCGCATCTGTCAGCCAGAGTTCTTATATAAGTTTCTATAATTTGACTTTAGAATTTTTAAGAAAATTATTAATATGTGATTTATATAGTTATTGACACATACAAAGTTGTTGAAGGCATTTTTTTTTCACCCACACTCTTTTGTCTGTTTTACTATAGCCATCCCTATTGAGTGTGAAGTTATATCCTTTTGTAGTTTTAGCTTGCATTTACTTAATGGATAGAGATTTTGAGCATTTTTTTTAATGTATTTGGTACAGCATCTCACTACACAGCTCAGACTTGTATAAAAATCCCAGTGCTTGGGATTACAGACATGCACCACACCTGGTCTCAGCATCTGGCTCAGCATGCCTGGGATGGGGGCCAGCACGGCATGTAGTCCTACGTATTGAACCCTGTTCCCTGTACTTGCCTAAGCAATTTAGTTTGCTGAGCTACCTCACTGGCATCTTTTTATGTGACTATAATCCATGTGTATTGTTGATGGCATTTTATAATAGAAAAATAGAAACAAATACTCATGAGTGTGGGACTATTTACACATATTACAGCAGTTCTATGCAACTGTGATGAGGAAAGCGCTCAAGGTTCTGTATGGAAAAACTGGCAAAACATCAATACACGGGGGCCAGGAAAGATGACTCAGTGGAATAAGGGCTTCCCTGGCAAGCGCAAGGGCCTGAGTTCAATTCCTGGTTCCACCAAAAAAAACCCCAAAATCAAAAAACATCGATACATGGAAATAGATTTAAAAAAAAAAAAACAACGAGTATTGCATGCTAATATTTTTGTAAAAGAGGAATAAATGGAATGCATGTAGGGTAAATGCATAATACTTGCTTGCATGTGGATGAGTCATTCTTCAAAGTGCTGCATGTATAACCTCAGTGTAGTGACTACTAATTGCCTGCAGGACAGGATCTGGGCATGTAAGAAGTGGAATATTTTTAATGTATTTTTTTAGGTTTTTCATTGAATTTTGGGCCATGGCACCATAAGCCATCGTCTCTGCAGTGCACCATCCTGAGCTGCAACAACCAGAGCCTTCAGCTCCTTCCCAGACTCCGCTGCAGCAGGGAACAACAGGCTATGGCTCTGCCGCTGATGTATGTGAGGTGCTCAAAAGATACGGTGAAGGCTTACAGCTACAAAACTGGGTAAGAGACACATTGCCATTAATCTCCCCCTAAATACTTTCCCTCAGCTTGAGCACATGTCCCATTGTTGTTGGCAATGTGCTTTTACTGTAATAAAATTTAAAAAATGTAAACACTTTCTACATTTTTGATGACATCTTACACTTTGATGAGAGATGGAGGAGAAGGAACACTAGCTTTGTGTGGTAGCTGGAGAAGATAAAGACCATGGATGTCAACAGGCAGTGTGGCACAGGTATGGCAGCTGTCCCAGTGCCCAGCAGCCGGCCTCCTGGGTGCTGCTGGGAGGCAGTCACAGTGACTCCGCGCGCTTCCTGCTGTCTGAGCAGCTCCTGACCAGCAGCATCCCTGCTTTCCGCATAGGCTGCGGCTCCCTGCAGGCCATGCTGGCCTCGAGGGCCTTCTGGGAAAGAGTGCACCACCACACGCAGCCCTGGCTGCTTAAAAGACTTGCAGTGGTTTCTACTTCCTGCAAGGATCTTAACTGATGAAATGACATATGGAAAACTTGAATATAAAAATGAAAGTTATCTCTAAAAAACATTTTAGTTCACAAAAAAGATTCCTTGAGCAGTGTTCCATTATGTATCTTGTTATTTATTTTAAAATTCTTATTATCCTGCCACATCATTGAGTATTTAATAAATATCTGTTGGCTTAATAATAGATGAATTACAAGACAGATGAGTTAACGCAACACCCTATGAGACTAGAAATGAATGTCTGTGCGAAGATGTGAGAAGTTTCACACTTGTGTGCACATGTGGAGATGCAGTCCTGGTTCCATCACATTTCTAGGAGAAAAATTCCAGTATTTCCTGTTGCTTGTTTTTATTTAACTCAAAATAGCTGTAAGGTACATAAAAACATTTAAAAATATTTCTAATATTGAATATTCAGTTATAATTGGTTGAGAATGCCTCATTACTTAGTTCTTGCTTATTTCTAACATGTAATAACATAATCCATCACAAAACATAATCGTTAAAAGTTTGCAGCAGGCTTTAAACCTGTATATTCAGATCCTATTCAGAAAGCATGACTTATTAGTTACAAATTTAAATATTTTCTTCCACACAAACATGTTAAAATTATTCATCATAAATAGGCTAGCTATTAATTAGTGCTCCGAGAAAGCCCCCACCCAGCACACACATGTAGGTAGCATATACGCTCTCACCCTTCACTACTAAGAACGATGAATGTGGCCATGACATCCAGTGGAGTCCTGTGCACATGTAAATTACATTAACTCAAGCATGAGGCCAGGACGAAGGAACTCAAAGAAGAGAACAGCAGCGTGCACCGCATGAAACCCCAGCGCCCGGCCTGCGCCTTCTCTGATGCTTCATCTGCCATGCGAATGTCTCAGGACTAAGTGTGAGTCTAGTTTTTAAAAGGAGGTGCTTTTTATACAACGTGGCCTCTAAAAACCACAAGCAGTGTCACTGGCCTTCAAAGGAACGACAGGGCTTCTGACGCCACAGGAAAATCTTGTCGTGAGGTGCCCAGACTTCTCATGTAGCATCCCTTGAAGGCTAGATCCTCCTGGTCCCCATTTCATCTTTGCATGGATATTAGGCACTAATGCGAGGTGTAACTAAACTCCACTGTGAGGTAATTAAAACGCCATGATTTGCAAATGCCATAATGATGTCAGCATAGTTGAATGTCCTGGTTTTTTTTGGTACTGGGGATCGAACTTGAACTCAGGATCTAAGTTTGCCAGCCAGGCAGGCGCTTGTGCTGTTGAGTTATCTTTCCAGCTCTGGTTTCTCACTTGTAGTTAGCACACCGTTTCTGTGACACACTTCTGGCTGACAGTACTTTGCAAAGTACCATCTCTGGCTGAGAAAAACCTCAGGGTGAAAAGATCAGCATGGTAAGGGATCTGAACAAGCAGTCAGCCAAGTTGCTGAATCTCAGAATAATGAAAGATGTGATGTCCAGTGAGTAAATGGTGCCTCAAGCAGAGAGTAACCGGTTGTGCTATGCTCCGGGTTCCCAGCAGTCCGCCACGGCTGCCTCCTAGCGGGTTTCTAAATTGGTGTCTGTGCTCTGCTCACACAGTTGGTTTATCCTGATCACCACCCCAGTTCAGTTTCTACTTTTAAAAGCACCATTCTAATGGAAATGCCCCTGCCCTGAATTAAGCTGGGACCATGAATTTGATCACTGGCAAGAGTTGTTATGTCATAGAGTTTAGATTAATTTGGTGGATATTGATTTCCTTGAGGACGGCAGTGAAACTTGCTTCCACTCCTTCCAGCTGCGCAGGACCTCTACCTGGGCTGCAGCTGAGGGTAAAATATCCCATGGAGCACGCCTTCAATGACCACATTTGGAAAATCTGAAAAACAAAAGGAAAACTCATTCTGTTCTGTACATCAATAAAATATAATTGTATTTTTCAGAATTTAGCGAGCAGAGGCCCCATCAGCAGGCATCTGTAGGGCCCGCAGCCTGTGTGCTCGGGATGTGCCATCACTCATGCCCTGCAGCCAACAGCAGGCGCCGCAGGAATGGATGACCAGATTTGTAGCTTATTGATTTAAGGGATGTTCTAATGGCTAATGCTGCTAAGCCCCAGCTCTTTATCTGAATGTTTTCTCACAAGGAAGATGGATTACAGTGGCAATTCAATTTCTAACAAAATCTCAATATACTTGAAGGAATTCCAAGATTTCTACTGGGAATACTTTGCAACAGTTTTTCCATTGTGGTTTACAGCAGCATTTAGTTCAAAGTTGTCTCGAGTATACTTGTTCTATTACACTGGCTTCCACGGAGCAGAAAGATGGGGTCTGTCTTCCTAACTTTAAAGGGCAAATTTCCAACAAAAGTCATCCTGTCAAACTTGAAATACCAGCTGCTTTTGTGTGGGAGATGCAAAGGGAACCAGAGGCTCACAGTATGTTGTACCCTGTTCCATTATCAGAGAAGTAAACTATGAATGGGTTTCTTGAGTGGTTTGGCTGTCTGTTCTAAACTTTGATCTGTACACACACAGTAATTATACCCAGGAACTATGCTAAAGCTGAGTGCTTTAAGTATAAGTTAATATATAAGGAAATATAAAAATTTCTTTACAGAAAAGAAATGTTTTGTTAATCCTTCCTTTAGAAAGTATTGTACCTACTATGTAAAGACTATGTCCACAGATACTAGGCCTCACTGAGGGAGGCTTCTGGGGGCAGCTGAGCAAGACATTGCTGGCCAGGAGGTCCTAGAGGGGTATGCAGGCCTCCATAGCTGAGCACAAGCGTGGTGGAGGGGTAGAGTGGGGTGGGGACACCAGGTCACATCTGGGAAGACCTAGCAGGAAATCTGGCTTTATCTGGAATACAATGGGAGGCTGCTGAGTGAGATAGGAAAAGACTGTTTTGAAAAGGACTCTGACATCTAAAATGGGCACATCAAAACCAGCGCTGTCACTGGGCTGCTAATTGTGTGGAGCACACAAAAAAGAGGTACTAGGGAACAAGGGGTCTGACACAGCGGCAGCTCTGAGGGAATTGTGAGCAAAAGGAAGGTGAGAGTGCCCTGAGCTGCGGCCATGCAAGCAGAGGCTGACAGTGGAACGCGAGGAAAGCAGCATCATTCAGCTTCAGCTCGCAGCGTTCAAGAGGCTCTAGGATGCTCCAACTGTGCTATCTGCAGGTGACACCGTGACAGTCACCTCAGCAGGTATCTACTAAGGGCTTCTGTGTGCCAGGAAACTACTTAGCAGGTTCACACTGCAACTGGGCTGTTTAACTTGCCTTTCCTTCAGTTGCAGCATGGTTTTCCTAACATCGACTTCCTACCACTAAGGGAAGGGAATGTCAAGGCTGGGCAGGCCATGCAGTGAGTTGAGTGCCGGTTACAACCAGGCCAAGTATTTTTATCATAAATGTAAGTAAGCAGTAGTTTTGGCTATGCCTTGGAGCATACATGCTGGTTGTTTTTATTCTTTTTTTTTTTTTTTTTTTTTTTTCAGAACCGGGGATTGAACTCAGGTCCTTATGCTTGCCAGGAAGCACTTATTCCATTGAGCCATCTCCCCGGCTCCTTGTCTTTATTCTGAGATGGAGTCTTACTAAGTTACTAAATTGCCCAGATTAGGCCTAAACTGGCGATTCTCTGCCTTAGCCTCCAGGAGCACTGGGATAATAGGCATGCCATCTATCTGTTGCGATCTATTTGGTGTGCCTTGCCTGGCTTTCCCTCTGTTTTAAGTTTTGGATTTTGGCTTCACAGCATGCCCAGCTTAACACACTGTCTATAATTATTGCTCAAATCACTCAGAAAACTGTCCTTACCCTTGCTTACCATTGAGAGGTGACAAGAAAGACTATGATGTAATGCATAACTTTTATTTTTTAAATGAATGTTGATGGGAAGATAAAGGAGGGGCTCCCAGAGGCTCCATCCAAGGTGTGCTGGCCATGGTTGCAGAAGCTGTTACTCTACATGAGGCCTGGGGACTGAGGAAGGCCAGTAGCACAGACAGAAGACTCAAGGAGCACCAGGTGGGGGTGCCAGGGAGGGCTCAGGAAGAAGTCACAGGTGTTGGGGCCTAGTTGTGTAAAGACCCCAGTGGGAACACACCAAGGGCAGACATAGGTGCCTTGCCCTCGCAGCAAGAACCATGCTCACTCCTCAGCGGCACATGTGGGGTGCGCCAGGCTGCAGGCCATGGGCAGAGCAGAGGTCTGCAAACCTCTGGGGTAGCTGGGACACTCCAAGGGAAACCGCATTTAGAGGAGAATGTGGCCCTCATCTGAGGCTGATGAGAGGCCAAGTCAGGTGAAGACACCATCCAGAGGGTGCAGCCATAGCAGAGGTTGCTGGGAACCAGTCAGAGTTCTTTTGAACTTCCAAAGAAAATGAAAACAGAGCTCAGAAATACATGCCTTCCAATCTGTGAAGAAGGACAATAAGTCTCTTGGCGTCTGATGTTAAAAGTTAAGAGGATGTCTGATTACTAATATTTTATAAGAAGATAATGGGTGTTTAAATATCAGAACCTTAAAGGCAGACACTTTGACTTTGTAGGAATCAGTGTACCTATGAAAATCTTTTCATATTCAATATTTTCCAGAATAATAACCTCAACATCTTGCTAAAAGATCTAAAAATGTGATGAAGCTCCTCTTTAAGTCAAATGCAAAAGATTTGCAAGAATAGATCATTAGTATAAAACTTCTAAGACAACAGAAATACCACTTATGAGTCTTGATTGGTCAAAACTTCAAGCACACAGATGGCTGTGGTGACGGCCCCTCTCCCACCTGGGTCCAGCCAGCCGCCAAGCCTACTCTTTCAGCACTCTCCAAGTGAACTCTTTGTTTTACAATTCCTTCTTCACACTACTGAGCTCTTAGCAACACACGCTTCTTATTCCTTCTAGTTCCATATATTTGCTGATGTTCTCCCCAGAAGATTTCTCCTGCTCTCGCTTGTCAAGCCAGCTGTTCAGCATTTGGGCATCTCTCATTAAGCTAGATGGAGCAGGGTAAAGAGACAGAAAATATCTCCCCTCTTCCATCAAGTATCCTGGGCACTCTTGTCAGCAGTCCCTCATTCCATTCTCTATATTCTTGCAGGAATTTTGGTCAAGTGCATGAAATGTCTAAACATAAATAATACCTAGAAACAGTACTGATAGAGCCATTTTTAAAAGATAATGTATTATAAAACTGAATATTTAAGCTAGATGATTACATTGTGAATATTTGATAAATATAGT